TAATATCATAATAGGGGTGAAGACAACTTTTTAAACATATATTTTGTTTATAGATAGATATACATTAAATATTACTTTAAGAAAAATATTAAAAATATATCATTCATATAATAACAAATTTAATTTTAAAAATTTCCTATTAAAACCCCACGTCTGTTACTATGATATCACAACCCTTTGAAACTAATATCATTCTAAAAAGATTGAATTGATTGATAACAAGTTAAAATATTTGATTTTTCATAATTAATTTAATTAATATTATAAATATAATAAGCTTTAATAGTGTAATTATTGGTTATAATTACACTTTTGTATAGTATATTAATCACTAGCAGAATAAAAAATGTATTTATTCTCATTTACTGTCTACACCCATATTTAATGTTACTTTTTAAGCTTTTACACAAAAATATCTATTAAAACTAGCAACTCATTTTCAAAACCTAAAACTACTGGCATGTTGATACTGTAGTCTACCAGCATGTAATAAAGTTAGACAAACATGACATGTTTATTTTAAGCTTTAATCCATTAGCAGTTATGTTTAAAATTAATTACAGAATCTTGACCTTTATAACAACTCAAAAATTTTATTTTTAATAATTTCTCCTGTGGAATATCACAATGGTTCCAATTCTTTTGGACCACAAATAAACTCATTTTAAAATATCTATTTCTAATTTGTGCTTATTGTAACATTATATAACTTAGTGAAAAGGCGATCAACAAAATATTGTACTACTGTAAAATAATATACTTCTGTAATCTAAGTTATAGGTAGGTTTTTAGAATTGAAAACAATTTGAAAGGGTTAAAACAAAATTTTGTCTATTCTGTGTAACAGAATTTTTACACTGGCTATATTTTTATCCCAAACTTCTCATGGCAATAAGGACAGGTTTTTCAGATATATTTTTATCCTTTATGTATACATGAACATAAAAATGTATGTAGGAATCTTGAGGAAATCTCAAATCTAACAAGAAATGCACTAACAAAAATCTAACAGAATTGGTTATCTTAATTTGATGCTTACTAATCATTACCTACATATCTTTTTATATTGGATTCATTAGATTGACATGTTTACGAGACGGCGTTAAATGATGATTAATATAACGACGTTTTGTCTGGATAAATGTATTCCATCTAGATCTGAGTCGGTGTTCTACGTCTTAGTATTATATATCTGGTATGAAATTAATCATTTTAGCAAAAAGTTTTAGTTGCTGCGAGTGCGGTTTCTAAATGTTATAATATAATTAAACTACATACGATCGCATAAAGAAGTTTCTAAAAGTTTACAATGGCCAAACAGAATAAAACATTGAAAATTGAATACCTCTTCCAAAGCATTGATGGTTTGACGACATTGTGGCATTCGCGACACGAATGTCGACGTAGTTGGAGAATTATAATCTTCACGAGTTTCCTCAATAAATTCGTCGATACATAAACCCGGCATGATTAACACTTCACGCACAAAATTTACACACAATCAAAATCTTTCCACATTCGCCTTTTACTGTATCATATAATACAGTAAGAGACCTTATTAAGGGTAACTGTACACATCGTGGTACACAAAACACTATGTAATTATTTATAATAAATAATCACTACACTTTGTCATATCAACATCATCGGCTGGAATCGCACGCAAATAATATTCACATTTACCCGTCCCGAGCTCAACGAACAATGACGGCCAATCGAACGAATGCAGGACGAATGAACAAAGCGAATGAATGATTATTTATCCATCATAGACAACATTTGACATTGAATAACAGAATTAATGGTGTAACCAATAGAAAAAATAACAAATCTACTACCGGCAGTTTTCACGCATTTCTGTCTGTTACAGACTTTTAGCCGAAATCTAGCACTTGCAGGGTAGGGTAATGTAATAAATTAAATTAAGACTCATTTTTATTTATTAAATTATCCTAATAACAGGAATGCTTACATTATTCTATTTCTCTTTTTTTAAGACCCATATTACATCTCAACTGTGATTTCTGCGTGATTTTTCTCGGAAACAAAAATAAATTAACAATTTTGACTTGTTGAATAGTGAAGAATAACTCTTGGTATAGAAATAAGTGGCCTAACTTTTTGGACATTTTTCTCATCTTTTTAATTAAACCCAAAATACCAGAGAAAGATTTTCACAAAATGCGCAAAGACACTTTTTTTGAGCTCCTGGTTTGAGCTACTGTTCTTAACAAACGAAATAAAAGAAATAGAGTGATATCTCTTATATAGTCGTAAAGTAAACAGTAGCGTCGAAATTTTGAAATAGCACTGATTAAATATAGAAAAACAATCATATTATAAACCAAAAAACATCAAAAATTGCTTGAAATTAACTTTGAATTTCTCTTATTGTTAGCATAATATTATTTAACAAAATTTATGCCAGATTAATTACTATTTCATAAGGAACAAAGATATTATAATTTTAAAGCATAAATTTATTATATTATTTCAATAAATACGATAAATGTAAACGCCAAATCCCTCCAAAACACGATGCAGCGGCCGTCTGAGCTCAGTACCGCGCGAGCGCTCCTCTACGTTAGACCTGTGTCGCATTACTTCGCGCCATTTTCGATCTAGATACGTTAGATACGTTAGCGAGCGTTAATAGAGCAGTATAGTGGGACTTCCAACTTTGGTCACGAAGTTCGATTTATATGGAATTTATATAGCTTATTGAATTATTTCTAATACACATTTGTTATTTTCAGCATGGGTCGATAGACCCCTAGGTATATTTGTATAAGAAAGTTAAAATATATATTTATATTAAGAAATGCAAATAAAGCAAGGTACTTCTCCTCTCAATACACTTATACTAGTACATAAAAATTGGAGTGCATATTTGTAATATTAAAATAACCGCTTTTCACTAAATACATTTGTGTGTATACATGGTACATATACAAAAATAATATTTTTTATCTGTCTGTCTGTTAGTTCTGGCTAATCACTGAAACGGCTTGGCCGATTTTGAAGGGACTTTCACTAGAAGTTGACTTACGTAATAAGGATTAACTTAGACTTATGGCTCGATGCAATTTGACCGATATCAAATTTTTCGGAGATCCGCATATCAAACAACTTTTTCTAAATTCAATATATTTTTAATCCCCGACGTAAAAACAACGCGGTGTTATAAGTTTGACGTGTCTGTGTATGTGTGTGTGTGTGTGTGTGTGTGTGTGTGTCTTTCTGTGGCATCATAGCTCCCGAACGGATGAACCGATTTTGATTTTTTTTTTTTTTTGTTTGAAAGGTGTATTAGTCGGGAGTTTTCTTCACTATGTTTGATGAAAATCGATCCAAGATGGCCGCCGTCACAAAATGTCGGATTACATATTTTATCACGATTCCATCAATATGGGTATCAAATAAGAGGGCTTGAGTATAGAATACTGAATACTATGAAAAATTTCAAATCCAAGATGGCCACCACCAAAAATGTTGGATTACCTACATATTTCTCACGACTCCCTCAATACGGATATCAAATAAAAGGGCTTGAGTAGTAAAAAACTGAAAACTATGACAAAATTTTATAAACAAGATGGCCGCCATCATAAAAATGCGATATTATATAATAGATACAGACAGTCACATTAATATTTATATTTTTATAGATATATTATCATCGCTATTTATATTATATAGCCTATGATTTGGCTAAATTTGTTTCTTCTAATTTTTGTCCAATCTTAGCAGTCATGTTTTTAATTTTAAAATTATTTATTTATATTTTATTCCTTTTAGTGAGCAGCTAATTATGTATAGAGATTATATATTTTCAATGGACCTTTAATTTGATACCCGTAAAGTTATGATTAAAAAAAAATACTTCTTTAAATGGCGTCACACGTCCCCATACCTATTTAATATTAATAAATAAAGCTAGTGTTATTGGAGTAACAATGTCACATCACTAGAAGGATATTACCATAGAGGAGTAAACTTGTTGTAAGATGGCTTCCTTCGTGTGCGCTGTGTGTTAAGTTAAACAATGTGAGTCTAAATATTAAATAAAGAAATATATGCTGAAGGTTGGTTTCCGTAATTCACTTTCCTCCATCCATAACCGTCAATAAGTGTCACTGATACTCTATGTATTTTGGGGTAACTTAGGATGATGTTTCTAATGATACCCTATGTTAGGGTTTAACTATTTGGCAACAGTTTCTTTAAAAAAAAAAAAAGTATAGATACTGGCAATTCCTCACAGGTGACGTTTCCGGCTTCTGATTGGCTGACCAATCGGAAGCAAGAGTGTTTAGTCGTGATTGGTTGGAAAAATTATGGCGCGAAAGTATCAAAAATGGAGGGAAAAGGAAAGCCGGTTGGACATTCGTTTGGTAGCAGCCGATCGTGGCGTTTGTCTTAGGAAGCATAACTTGTAATTCTAATCAATAGAGGAATAAAATTATGATATCCAGAAGATCGACTTTTATTCATAAATTTAATACGAGTGTGTGGTTTAATTCTTTATACCTATACATTCATATCCGTTATATCTTTCAAAAGTTATGGTGCAATAAAAAACTCACATACATAGATTAATTCTAAAAACATAGACTCCTTTTCGAGAGCAGTCGTGTTAAAATATTCGGGAATCGATAATGATCTCACCATAGAAATACAAAAAAAAATTCAAAAATTGGGAAAAGTATCAAAATAGCTTGGTCGTAGTTTCAATACAGTATTGTGGACTCGTGACCTCGTGACTTGTTCAAGTTGTCGAGAACTCGGAACGCTTCAAAATACCCTATCTCACAGAGTGAAAATTTGTCATATGGCTCTTAATGCTTTCTCATTTTGTTACAGTGGTGTAGGATGGTGGTAATTGCATGACAATATCTGGTAACAGCTTCGCTCTGCGGAAGTTACGTCACAACCAAAGATTACAATCACAACCATAGCGAATGACGACCGATAGAAGCTTAACGAATGATTTTATGAATGATTGATGACAATGACGGAGTTGTCACGAGGTTTGTGATTAAATATATTTTATCTTTTAATTTTTTGTACTAAACAATAATTTATGATTTAAAAATTTATCACCAAGCCAAAAATAAATAAACTAAATTAAATGTGTTAAATGTACTTCTAAATTTTAATTACGACTGTGGAAAAATAATACTGACGTGGATAAATAACTGTATTGGTAAAGGTTTTTTTTCATAAATTTGGTACTGAATACTATCTCGATAAGCTTATTAACTAGTAAAACCAGGTACTAACTGAGACAAAGGACCAACGTTCTCCAATTTCTTGAATCTTATTGGCAAAATATTATTATTTCAGAGGTTGGCGAAGTCTGGTCTAGATTATTTGACCATCGCCCTTTTCTGAATGGAGAAATAAAATTTATGTTGAGAGAATTTGAAGTGAGTGAACCATCAGTAATTTACTATTAAATTACCAATAGTATTTTCTGTTTTAACTACCATATTTATCTTTTTTCCACAGGAAAAGCGTGGAGATAGAGAAGTGGAAAACTTATTTGTAATTCTCGAAAAAATCACCGAGATTAAAGATAGTCAAATTGAGAGAATCAAAAAAGGCTCAGAAACTTTACCAGTATTGAGTGAAAAATTAGATCAGGCTTTAAAGCTCTGTGAAACCATCTCAAATGAATATTTACTAGTGCATGAAGTAAGTATTTGCCTTTATTTATTATCCTTTTAGTAGTAATTTTTATATTCATAAGTTGTTCTTGCAGGAGGCTGAAAAGAAAAGAATTAAAAACCATACCCTTAGACAAGAGGAATGGGATCAGTTCATTGATGACTTGAATTTTAAATGTAAAAGAATTGATAACGCTTTTGAGGAAAAGGAAGAAGAATTAAGGGACTTATATGCTGATTTAAACCATAAACTTAACATAGCCAACAACTGAATCATGGACCTCAAAGGATCGTTAGTTGATACAAACCTAAGAATATACCCATCATACAAATTAAAAATATTTCTGGAAAACGAAAAGCTTGGAGATGATCTGCCTGTTAATATTGGAAAGCTAACAAAAGGTGAAACTTATAAACCAAAACAGAATAAATCTGATTCAAAACCTTCAAATATATATTTGAATGAAAACGATATCAAGACTATAAATACAATTAAAGATAAAATCAAGGTAAAGGATGTAAATAATTCTGAACATGACAATCCAGACCAACAGGGTAATGAAAAGTCTGTTGAACACCCACCTGATAAAGATGAAAAGAAAGATTCCTCTGAGGTATCTGACGATGTAAAAGCAGAAATATTTGAAAAAGAAAATGTCTTATTTCTCACTACGTCAGACATAGATTGGTTATACAATTACATTAAAGAAAGGAGAAGCAAACATGATGATATACCATATTTGCATGAGCTGTTAGAAGGTTCCAATATAGAGCTTCCTAAAAATGAAGTTATAAAGAGAAATCCTGTTTTAGAAGCTAGATGTGTAAAGCTGAGAGCTCAACAGGAAGCAAGGGAATATAGAAAAATGACTAAGGGTGTGGATAATGTGAGACTGAGATTTCCAGAAGACAGTATATCATATCAATGTAAGTAATGGGCTTAAAAACAAAAAGTACCACTTCAAAATTATGATCAGTTATTCATAAAGAAATGTGTCATACCAACAAATTGTTAATAAAGTTCAAATCATGGTGATTTAAAACTAATAACTTGTATACATTTTCAAATTGATCTTTTTTAAATTTAAGCATGACAAATATGCCTTTTTTTATTTCAGTAAAGCAAATGAATCGGCAATTGATAGCAATCGGTCAGTTCATAATATCAATATTTGCTGGCTTCTTGTTTGGATTCAGAGGAGTTGAATGGATGGTGGGCAATCTCGATTTTGGATTTAGGTTGCTTCTTGGTGTAATGTGTGCTTTGATAATTGCTCTAGCAGAAATATATTTCTTAGCCAAAAAATTAAATGAAGAATTAAATGTACCAAAAACAACACAAATAGGTGGTCCCCCAACGTTTGTAAATGATAGGTTTAATGCAAATAAAATAAGCAAACATGATAAACCTCATCAAGATTAATAAAGTAATTTTAAGTATAGAACAATAAGGTTACTTGCATTACACAATTCTTCAGATATTTATCAATATATTTAGCTACCATTGTGCAGAAATTATGAAGCCTTATTTCTTTATTGCTTTTAAAGAAAATGTTAGGATTTTCTCTTGTAACTTAGCTGAATAAGTTATATTGTTCTTGTTTGTTACTTGAGCGACTATATTTTATTTATTGCACTTAAGTTACTACTTTTGAAATGCTCTGTTTTATAAATAAATAAGGTATAGAGAAATGTATGAGTTTTTAAACATTTAGTTTCACTTAATTTTCCTAGTCCTTTCATAAATACCGTTGTCAATTTTCCAAATGTACCCTACAGGACAAGTCACGATGTTCTAACGGGATCCTAATTCTAAGGCTTTCCTGTTCGTCTGTCTGTCTGTATTTCATGAACAATGATTCAGTGATACAATAACTATCTATTTTTCCACTTCGTTTTAAAGTAAAGCTGAATTCACTTTTAAGTAAATCACTTAAGGTTGATGTTTGGGCTAATCGCTTTACAATATCTGTGATCACCAAGAAGCGGCGATCACAGTTCGCAACTATACGTAGACATCTTTAAGAGATCAACGCTTTTCATGATGGATCATGTAATGCAATTTTAATAATCGTAAGAATGTAGAGCGTTTAAATAATATGAATTGCAAACAATGCAGCCTGTCATCTATACTTGAATAAAAACATAACCGATCGATGTACATTGAAGATATATGAAAAAAACTGTTATGAGGGACATTAATAAGCGTAAAAGAACACAAAACAATGATTTTTATTTTTTTTGTCTGTTTGTCTGTGCGTTTGTGCACGATAATCTCAGAAACGGCTGAACCGATTTAAATGTAGTTTTCACTATTATATTGCGATATTCTTCCGTTAACATTTAGTGTAAGATTTATTTCAATCGGTTCACAAATAAAAAAGTTATGTCAATTTGAAGTGAAGTGTTCGCCAAAATTCCTATAAAATATTAACAGTTTAATTAAATTTTCGTCTTTGATATATTGATCATCATCATTAACTCTTTCACGGCCAAACTGCAGGGCCTCAGGCCTTTGTTTAATAATTTTTGGTCACCCATCCCGTGAACAACTCTTGCGAAAATTGCTTAGCAATAGCGATCGTGCGCAGCGGTGCTTATCCGTAGCGCCACCGAGCTACAAATTAATATTGTCTATAAAATGATAATTTGTATGTTGACAAATATAAAAAAATAAAATTCCAAAATTTTGACAGCACCAAAGTTGACCTCATTTATATATGGCCAATCATATTAAATAGGGTTTAGTTTATAATGGACCTGTGGTATATCACACGAGTAGGAGAACATCGAGTAGTTTACAGTAAACGCTTATTTTTATTAGATTAGGTTCAAGTCGTCGTCAGGGCCAGCGGAGGTGGTTGGTAGCCGCCCCCACATTGCACAGTTTCGTCTGTCTGGGAGAGGCACTCGATTTATCCGAGCCTCTCCAATTTTCTATCTGCAAGGGGACCAATGGTCCAATACTTGAGTGTCCTGGTGACTCGGCCATAGCTTGCCGGGTTTCGTCTCCCATGAGATGGTGTAGCGTACGGGTTTTGGTGGGTAGGTCTCTGGGGACCCACTGGGCAGCTCACTGTCGGATTTATGGAGGAGAATCTTACTCACCCCCTGTTGCTTGCCAGGTATCTGTTACCTGGCAAGCAACGAAGTTAAAAAAGTTAGATTCACGTCAACTGAAGTTAAGAAAGTAAAGACAACTAGAGTTATATATTTTTTATGTTAATACTCTTTTTGATTTTTTTTAACATACAAATTGCTGTAGATACGTACTTCAAAGTTGGTATTTTCAGTCTTCGCTGGAAACAATGGTTTATTCATTGGTCACAACATATAATATTAAACGAGCCTGAGGGTCGGTTCAGAGCAGCTTGGTGGCGTAGTGAATAAGCGCCATGGCTCGCGATTGTAGTTGTTAAGCAACTTTCGCAAAGGTTGGTCACAGGATGGGTGACCAAAAAAATATCTCAAGCAACTCCAAGCTTCGGAAGGCACGTAAAGTGATTGGTCCCGGTTGTATTTGCAGTCGTTAATATCCTCATATCCGCATTCGGCCAGCATGGAGGGTCGTAGCTCATCATCCTTAACCATCCATAAGGAAGGCCTGAACTCCTGCAGTTGGTGACGTAAAGAGCTGATGATGATGATAATGACAATGAGGGCCGTTCAAATTTGACGGAAGCTCAGTTAAGCACCTCTCGGAAGTATGTTAGTAGACGATTGCCTTCAAGTGTGGAAAGTCGAAATTAAAATATGTATATATTTTTTTATATCAATAAATAAAACTCCACGTATCTTCCGTCAGACATGTACTGACCGACTAACATTTATTGACAAAGAAAAAGATCAGACAGAAAGCGCTCGCTCTCGGGAGACACTTGAAAAACTCGAAGCGTATTTAACTGCCCATCGCGAGGCTCATGCTCTATAAAGTTGAATCTGAAGCATTTATCGTTAGGGACAATCTCTTGAGCTCTCGGAAAACTCATACAACAAGCGTTTGTTCTCAGGAAACTTCTGAAGATATTAATAATTACCATAATTTTGAATAAGAATAATAATTTCGTCTGTCAATACTTTTAATATAATTTATGGATTAGAGTGGCAACACTGAAGGAACAAAGACCGATATAATTTAAAAGGCGGGATTCTTGATCCAGCTTGCAACGAGGTAGGACGGAAAAAGTGTTGTTGGTGGATTGTGGAGTTTTTCTACGAACAAGGAGCAATAAAAGTGTAATTACAAGGTAACCATGTGTTTTTATTATAATAACAATCTCAATATAGCTTATTGAAGGATTAACCTTACATTTCAGAAGTGGGATATGCCCGTTATTATTATCCAATTAAAGATTTTTAGCTTATTTTTTTTGCATGGCTAAACGAAGTAAGATAAATGTTAATAATCAAGTGACGTCATAACCTAATAAAGTCAGTTGTAAGTCACAAATAATTAATTTATATTGAATTTTAAATGACATGCTTTTGTTAATGTCGTTATTACTGGTAAGGTCTTGAGTTACTTTCACTGGTCGTTTTGTCAGCCAAAGATAATCTGAACTGGAGGCAAATATATATATATATAAAGCAATTCTAATAAGTTTATTAAATACAAATTATTTGGCGTTGACTTTGAAAAGTCTATGAATATTATGCATATGTTGCCTTTTTGGCTCTAGTAAGTTAATAGTAATGTCTGTTTTACCAATCAAATCACAGAAAGTAGATTACACAATAAGAAACTTAAAACTCGATCTCTCAAGGACATCTGAAGGTCAATTTTTTTTTGTAGTTCGAATTAGTCTGCGAGGTGTATGGGGGTCTACGGGGGTGCCAAATTAGGTTATTTTTTAGCTACGATTCGTCGTTTAGGAGTTATAACCGCTTGTACTATTTTTGTAGTGTACTCAGCTTGATGTTATTAATTCAGTGAATGAAATGTTAATCCAACTTGTTTCGAGTTTCAGAAAATGCCACGTGATAGCGTGACTTCTCCTCGGCGGCGTCGGCTAAGCACGCCGAAAAGTCGCGACCGAAACCGTAGTCGCAGCCCTATCCGAGAAGGTGAGAAGTCACTGCTACCGAGTGAACGGGAGCGCAGTCATAGAAGCCAGAGCCTGCACGAACAGGAACTAGAACTGGAACGTCAGCGACAAATACTTCGCACACTTGAAGAGAAGGTAGTCAGGGAGCGTAGTCAGCTGCGTCGTGCTGATCCTGAACGCCGAGCATCCACGCGAGATGAACTGGAGCGACGTGGTCGGGACCTTGGGGATCGCCGAAGGAGCCCAGCACTTCAAGGTGGAGCGTCAGTACGTCGTACAAGGTCACGTAGTCCTACTTTTACTTGTAAAGACGTAGCTAATATTATAAATTCATTGAAACCCCAACCAGCGACAGCAAGCACCTCTCAAAATTCCAGCAATTCTATCACTCATAAAAATATACTACCCGATTTCGATCCATCAAATAAAAATCAAAGAACTGATGTTTGGCTTAGAAAGGTAAACGAGTGTGCTACTGTATATGGTTGGGATCAACGAACTACGGCTCATTTTGCAATGCAGAAACTCCAAGGTTTGGCCAAAGTCTGGTATGATAGTCAGAACACAATTTTATTTGATTGGCCTGAGTGGCAAGAAAAACTTTTGATAGCATTTCCTTGCGAACAGAACTATGGTCAAATTTTGGAGGATATGCTTCGAAGGAAAAGTAGATTTAATGAGCCTATTGAGGTGTACTACTATGAGAAGTTAGCTCTATTGAACCAATGCGATATATACGGTAAACGCGCAGTTGATTGTTTAATTCATGGCTTAAACGATAAAACAATGAAATCTAGTGCTAACGCAGTACGATGTACTCAGCCGGATCAGCTTCTGCAATTCCTGATGAGTAATCAAGATAGCTCTCATCTAGCTGTTCAGTCTAAGTCTAGGGAAAAAGGGTGGATTGACCAAACTAATAGTTTTACCTATCAGCGTAAATTGTCTAATCGATCCATGGCAGATGTGAATTGTTTTAATTGCAAAGAAAAGGGACATCCTTACTCAAAGTGTCCAAAACCATTATCTCGGTGTATTAAATGTAACCGTTTTGGACACAAGGCTGAAACTTGTTTTTCGAAGAATGCTTCCAACGCTAAGTTTGATGATAAAAATAAATCCGAAGTAGTCTCAAATACAATGCGTATATCGACTTCAAAGTCTAATCGTAAATATATCAAGGATTGTAACATTAATGAATTAACGCTAAAGTGTTTTGTAGATTTTGGTAGTGAGGTCTCTCTAATTACTCAAACAGCAGCGAAAGGGTTGTGTCTGGCACCGAGTGGCTCTACTCTGCCCCTTAAGGGATTCGGTAACGAAATCGTTTACTCTCTGGGTAGGATCGAGATAGATTTAAGCATCGACGGTGTTAAGGCTAGGGTCACATGTCAGGTAGTAGATGATGCTTTGTTAGATGTACCACTTTTGATAGGTCAGTCCTTTACCGAGCAGAATCACATAGTCGTTTATAAAAATGCCAATGAACTGAAATTTTCTGATACCAATACCGGGTTTAATAGTTTTGAAACTAATCAATCACATGATGCCCTTGTACCCGTGCAGATTATCACTGATACTCATATATTTGGGCCTGTTGCGACTAAAGTTCGCGTCTACTCAATTCTATCAGGACATATTCTGTTAGATAGTAAGGTGA